AGGCAATTCTCCAAGTTTTCGGATTTTTTCCTTATACAAAGCAAAATTTTAAAATCACAAAATTAATTATTAACATACCCATGATCGAGAAAATTAAAAATTTTGCTAACTTATTGCATCATAATAATGTTGAATAATATATATTAGAGAATTTCGCAAAAATTATCACAAAATTAATTTGCTTGATTTATTATAAATAAATTTCTCGACGTGTAATCGACGAGAATTCTACAATTTCGGACGCATCCACGCGAAGGGCGAATAATCCTTGGCACGACATCAAACTTTGTGTACGGTCGAAACATATAGGTGCAAAGGCTTAAAGCGTTAACGCCAAGTAGTCGCAACAGCTACAAAGTTTCGCGAAAACGTTACGATCCCGATGGGACCGTCGGGAGGTCGCGTGGAATTGCCGCAGCTAAGTCCGTTGCAGCGAACGATGGGACGGTGGGTGATCCAGAGGGTGATGCACGCTGCTCGCGGTATCGTCTAAACGTGGATAGCGGCAACGACGGCGACGGTGACGGCAGATATCCCAGTAACAGAGACAAACTGTGTTTGCTCCTTCATTACCTCCGAGTAAACAGCAGCCGGTTTTAATTATGCTCTGCGCTCGCGCGAACGTCTCCTTTCGCTTGATATTACCTCGCCATGTTGAGCTATCCGACTTTCTTACCAAGCTCGGTTAAATGGGGGTTGTCAACGAGACCGTCATCCGGTACCATATCCCCCGAGACCGAGACCCGCGTTTCCGGATCTCCCGATTTTACGAAATCGCGACGCGATTTCATTCGTAACAGCGTGCGAACGTGTGGATCGTTGTACACATTAATGATGTAGCATCTATTCGATTCCGAATAAAATCGGCTGAAGCTCGTTCGATCTCGAATATCACGTACGCGTACGGCTGGAAACGCAACGCATGATAGTGTAACGATACGCAATCGAATTTTTTATACGCGAATAGCTCGGTGCGTTAGCGGCGATGGATGGCACTCGTTATTCCTCCCGTGAGAAATTTGCTGCTTTTAATATCATTATTTCTTACTTTAAGCAGAGAATAATGCACACAGTTTTTTTTTTTTTTTTAATTAGATTGAATCATCTGAATAATCGCTCGGGGACTATTCACGAATTCAGATATTCCTTTTCGTAAATCGAGATTCGGAGTCTGAAAGGGTTAAATGGCCCAGTGCAGTAAGCGAATTATTGCGCCCCCGCGTTTAGCTCGCCTTCAGCGAGCGACTTAATGCACTCGACTATATATCGGGTGCATCCAGTTGCTAAGATGGAAGCAGTCGGCCGTGCTGCTGTAACGGATTGTTTCGATTATTTTGTAAAGTTCATCGTTATCGCTCGACGAAGGCGCAACCAGATGACAGAAATAAATCTCAAAAGACGCGCTTAAGAAGTTTCATCGATCATAAACATTAGACAGCAGAGATATAGGAAGGGAGTCAAGGGTCGAGGAGATAAAGAGGGCTTCGAGAGGGGATGTAAAGGAACGACGAGTGGTCGCGCGAATACCAACGAGAAGCGGAATTCTGGATGATCTTATCGCGTTTAACCTTTCTTCTTGCTTTCTCTCGAGGGGGGGGGGGGGGGGGGGGGGGGATCGAGAGCTTGTTCGAAACGATGCTATCGCAAAGTCGCGGAAATCCGCTTTAATCCGCGAACCGTTGGTTAAGAGGCCGATATGGCGCAAAGTTGACTCGCTCGAAACGGATACAAGCGGATCGCGAGCACACCGAATTTGCCTTGCGATAAATGAACCGTGGAAGAAATATTTTATCTGTACGACCTCGTTTCTGCGCCCATCTGCCTGCTTCCCGGCGATTGGAAATTCGTCGGAAGCCACGAGTGAACGATAACAGATTCGCGTAAGGACAGTAAAACATCGTAACACGGAACTAGCTCGCATCACCATTTGTGATATATTATACAGTATCAAAATATGATGTATAATATAATATATTCTGGTGATATATTAATAATAATATTAATTTTCTAAGATTAATAATAACTATCGATTATTACTTTACATTTGTATATTTCGTACAATTATTTTATGAATTATGTATCATAAAGCACAATTTAAACAATTTAATATAAATCGCAATTTTTCAATAAAAATGAATAAATACCTTCGTATTCGCTCATTGAATTGCGACGATTTGATTCGATTACTTATACGTGCTCTATTAATTATCAACTAGTAGTGGGGAAATTAAATCGTGGAAGTTATTAATGAAGCATTATATTAATTATCTATAATATTCACATGTGGACAGTATTTCTTTAGAATTTTTACATTCGAAGTTTAGTTACCAATAGAGATATTTAATCTTGAATGTTAACAAGATATAGAGTATTATCCCTTGCATTTTGTGTGGATAGAATGAACTTAATGGACAATAAAAATTGTTGTAAAAAATTTATTCGAGACACGCGGTCACTACTACAAATGTTATATAGATAAAAGTTCCGCAATTTTAAATCTATCTCGACGTATATCGGCCGAAATATTGTCACGTATCGCGAATGCTATACAGCCAATTTAGAATGGTTCTGCCTTCACGGTAGATATAAGTGACCTTTTTAACCGCGGTCCGTTACGCATAATTTACGTTCATTATCTTTAATGGGCGGGCTATTAGAAGGGGCGCGAGTAATAGTATGGCAATACCACTAATGCTTCCGCCCTCTCTTGCCCTGTCTCGTCTCTCCTTTCTCTACCACCATTTTTCTACCGGCATACTTAAATGTCTACTCAATGCAAATAATGGCCGGTAGCGGTAGAATATTGTTTCTTGTGCGAAAGAAAGTAATGACCACGGGAGGTACGGAAACTGGATGTATCCGGAATTATATCGGGAATTGCACGTCAAGCGCCTTCCAAGGGAAACTTATTGCTTCATCTATAGCTCTCCTCGAAAGAACAGTGAGATTGTGCAGGACGTTTTACGTTTCTTAGGAATAATTCGGCGTATTCGGGATCAATTTCTCTTTATAATAAATTTGATCAAATGCCACTTTTTTTCATATTTAAATCTTTGAGGTCAATTACATCGCCAAAAAATTTAAATTACAAATTAATATTCCATCAAAGTTGATTACATTATTTTAGCAAAATATCAATGGCTCTGCCTCAATATTTCAGACTTAATTAGGGATGCATTTAGTTATTATTACGAAGCTATTATTATTAAGAAGCTATGATTAATAACGTATATATCAATGAAAGTTTATAAAGTTTTTACATTTTGTAAAGGCTGCTCAGAACAAGTGGCGACCCGCACACACCCCGACTGACATCCCGGTGGATATCCCGGCTACGATGGTAGCGTTCGGGGCGCAAATACCTCCGAACGTCCCTCGGGCTGTCACTTAGTGTCCTAAAGAAATAACATTTCCTTCCCGCGCATCAAGCGCGCGCCATTGTCGTCGTCCTCGTCGCCGTCTCGACGATGTCTTTCCCGAGGACGACGGCGGGGTAGCGTCGCGGATTCCCGTCCCGTCGCATTTTTATTTCGCCGCAAGGCCAACCCCAAGTCCGACGGGGGATGGGACATGATAAAGGGTAAAGGGAGGGCAGGAGGATAATCGGGAGTGGGAAGAGGACGGAATCTACTCTCGCGCTAGGCATTGCACAAGTGTCAGCCTGAATAATACATGTCCGTTGCAGCGAGTATACGGGCTGACACGGACTGTTCCGCATACGTACGCACGTACATGTATATACGATGAACGATATACATATATACCGTTGCACGCGTACGCGTATACATATGTAACGATCGTACACGGACGTATATTTATTTCCCCTCGCCCTCCTTTTTCTCTCTCGTTCCGCGCTTGGGTTCTTTCTCTCTCTCTCTCTCTCTCTTTTCCTCTCTCTTCTTCTCATTCCTTTGCAGTTACGCTCGGCGGGTCCTTTGACAAGCGAGTTTACGTTATCACGCAAATCGCAGCGCCGGCATACATATGTAGGCGCGTGTAGACGGCAGGACGTGTCACGGCCGTCATTCTCGGGAGGACGACGACGACGACGACGAGATCTCGTCGTGGGTCGACATCCGGTGTATGTGCGAGCTTACGGAATATACCACGAAATATATCTTCCTCTTCGGATAATCGAGAGGAAGAGAAGAGAGAGAGAGAGATATATGGAACATGAAAGCGAAGAGAGAGAGAGAGAGAGAGAGAGAGAGAGAGAGAGAGATATGGAACATGAAAGTTGACCTTGTTGAAGCTGACTATGTTTGCGAAATTGCACGTTTGTATAAATCTGAAACTTTCGATTCTGCGTAATGCGCATCTAATGAAGATGTGATAATCGAATTTGCCAGCTATTGCGAACGCTAATAATCGTTGACGGTAGTTGAGTTTGCCAGGTATTATGCGCATTAATGGTCATTGATAGTTGAGCTTATCATTATGGACACCGACGATCATTGAAATGTTTATTATGATAGTAATGTAGATGCGTTGAATCGTAAACGTGTTATTGAATGCAGTATATACAAGCATTGTATTAATGACATAAGTAATCTTGAGTAATAGTTTCCTCTTATTTTTTTACATCCCTTTTAAACCTAAACGAATAATTTTTTAAATTATTAGAACGCAGTTATCTCGATCATGGATTCGATTTAAAAAATATTACGATTGTTACAAAAATATGAAAGACGACAAAGAAGATGCGAAAGATGTTTAAATCACGCGGGTAATTCGTTATTATACGTGAAATTTGAAGAGTTTCATGAACGAGAGCACAAATTAAATTCCTGTTTTGGTTTCCCTTTCTCGAATGATACGCATATCGCATGCAACTCTTTTATTTTTGTCGGATCTCTCGGTCCCTTTCATCACGTGCGCGCATTGCGCAGTCTAGCAAAATTGACCGTACTTCATTCTCATGGTAGTCCACTCGACTCCATCGTCGTCGTTTCTATTTCCGACGATCCAACTAACGTCCGCTTTCGCTGTGTGTGTTGCAGGGATTACGTTCGACGTGAATTGGATGCAGTGACGTCATCGGGAGTTAGCTCCACGGTGAGTAAAGTTATTGATGATTCCCTTGGTTTCAATTGGATGGTCGGTCACGATTCAGGCACAAAACGTACACGAATTTGACTGATTTGAACTTTCATAGCGTAAAAACTTGAGATGCGTGCCTTGAACATATATTCCAGCCAAAGTAAAGATATAAGATTATCAATTTATAAGATAAAATAATATGACGTTTCCTCGATGTGATATGGAGAAGGATCTAAAGCACAAGAGTAGTTAAAAAAAAACATCATTCTTTTCTTCAAAAATTTTGAAAAATTATTCTAAATTTTATTTATTTATTTATTTATTTAAATATGAGATGTTGCACTAAACTTTTCTTTTATTAACTTTATTGACTAAATTTGTAGAGATTTTTTAGATATATATATTTGTTTTTGTTTTTGAACTAAACATTTTTTGAGCTGAACTTTAGTATTTTTTGAGGTGCTATCTTTGATATAACGTGTGTTTAGAAAAGCATCGGAGGCATAGGACTCCGTTTGCTCGGCTTCCGCCCTCGCGGTAAGTAAAATACACCATAACAGGGTTAGCCGGGCTATGAATAAATTTAGCACGGCGACCGAGATTATAGGGTGAAGAGTGAAGAGGAGAGAGAGAGAGAGAAAGAGGGAGGGAGGAAGGGAGAAAAGGAAAGCAATAATATGTGAGAGAGGAGACATTTTCAACATGTGAACTTATTCCTCTTCTCCGCTTGCGATGACGTTATCGTGCAAGCCTTTGCTACGTGGAGCTTCAAACCGCACGCATACACCCCCGTAAATGTAAGCCCCGTGTGCGAAGCGTCTGCAAGCTCGCGACGAGAAAGCCTTTCGACAAAAAAGTACGATGAGAGAAAAAGAGATGGGAAGGAACGCGCGAAAAAGCGAGAGAAGGGGTGAGAGACGGAGATGGTCGCGCTCGAAAACATTTACAGCGAATCGGATTAACGCGGGTATTTAATCCCGCTCGCGGCTTTCTCGTTGGCGAGATAAAAAGGGGACAGGTAAAAAGGGACGCGAGAAAGATTGCGCGCGCGACGCACACAGAACAGAATAGAATCGCGGGCATAAAGGGTTTTTCCAACATGGAAGACAGAGTGCGAGACAGAAAGAGAAGGAGAAACGAGGGAGAAAGAGAGGAAACGCGCAGTCTTCGGTGAAATCTCATCTCTTTAATGGGAGCGGCTTCCGCGACGAGCGAAGCTGCCTCCCGCGAGTTTCGTCGAATATTGGGATTTCTGACTGATAACCTAGGTGAAGGATAACTGGCTGCGTGGAGCAACAGTGCGAAAAACCGCGAAAAATTCGTTCTATGATTTGATTTGTGCTTCGAAGAGAAGCTCGAAGAGAGATTTTTAATCACGTTAAAAAGGTGCGAAAAAGGATGTCTTACAACATTTAACGCTCGTGACTGTTGATTTCTTTTAAAAGCACGGAATAAATCCTCAGTATTTCACATCTTACTGCTTCTATTCTTAATATTTTGATAAAATAATTCATGCACACGGGCATCGTTATTACATGTAGTTATAAGAAAGTTATAATTTCTTGCATAATATTAAAAATATATAAGAAAAACATTGCTTTTTTGTACTCATAATACGTACAGCTATATGCCTTCATTATATCGTATACGCAGTGTATGAAAATTACTTTTCCAATACTTCTTAATTCGTCTAGTTAGAAATCGCTGCCTCTTAATAACGAATCCGCGTTAATATAGCTCGTTTACTTTGAGCGGATTTTGCAAAGCGGGTTAAAGAAAAACGACGTTTCACGCGGATCAGGCGAGATCTCATTTAAGAAATCGCAATTTTCCTTACGTCGTTCGCACACGATTTCACGTCCCGTGTGTTGCCGTGGGTCTGTCGATATATTTCACATACCTTGTAACGATGTGCACTGCTTCGATCCGCTCGCCGTCTCGCGCCTTCATCGTACAACCATATGGGACGACAGGCAAGTAGCGGCGAACGCACGCGCGCGCGCGCGCGCGCGGAGGGCGCAACATTTCCATCAAATTGTATAGCTAAGTCGAAACATTCGGTGGAAGCACGTATTGCTCAGACATTCACCCGCACTCGGCTACTTCACGGCGGGCATTCGCAATTTTGCTTTTCTCTCACTTTTCACCTTCCCGATTTTCTCGCTCTTCCCTCTTCTCTCCCTTATCCAGCATTTCGCGCTCGCATTCCGCGCGAGACTGATGGAAAACGTTGCCTTTACGTCTTATCGAGAACCAGCGCCGGCGGCGATAGTTGTGACGGCCCGATTTCGTGCCGCGGACGTTATGCTACGGTTCGAGAAAACCTGATGAAAAATGAATCGGGTCAGATCGTACACGGGGCCGGGTCATGGACGGGCCCGTTCGCGCAAAAGGCCCAAGAGTGATACGTGATCCTAGACGAGTCTTCATAAATTCAGTATCGATATCGGTGCGCGATTCACCCTTGCCCCTGCTTCCTCTTCGTCCCTTTCTCGCATTTTTTCGTTCATGATTATTTGCTTGTAAAGTAAAGAATTGGGGCAATAAGACCCGTGTTTGAAGCAGTATGCTTAATTATATATTATATATTATAAATATATTATAACGTCAAAAGAGTGAGAAAATTTTGCCAACAAACTACTACCCTCTTATAAAAACATATACAGCGATTTGAAAAGAAGTAAAAAAAAAATTAAATTAAAAGGGCGGAAATATTAAGCTTTGAGAGAAGAAAGTAATCAAATTTTTAAATAATTTGGATTCAATAACTGGCATTCAATGGCATTTTAACATTAATGCACTTTTTACTCCAGATAAAAGGAAATATTTCAATCTTGTTACTTTTTCTACAGCAGAATATATTTGTTATTATTAACGTCAGATTTGGCAGCTTTGGCTTAATATTATTTATAAGTATTCTGCCAAAAATGTCAAATTAATAGATTGCAATGTTCTTTGCAATATTGTAATCTATTAATTTGATTCACTATTTCACTCTATTATTCAATCAACAACACCATTCTTTTTACGGCAGTTTGTCTTTATCGATGAGACTTTCAAGGGGAAGCGAAAGTAAAAGCTCTTTCTTTTTTTTTCTCTCTTCCTCAAAAAACGGAAACGTTTAAATGTGATACCTGCTTAATTGCCGGAGCTTTTGTAAGCGAAACGAGGCGAATGTTGGAAAAGAGGAGGGCGAAATCAGTGAGAAGAGACGGAAAAGGGAGGCGGAACGATACGATGTTACCGATGTCGAGAAGAGCTCGCGGGAATGTCCATTGCTAACGGGCATTTGTATGTAAATGGCCTCATAGTTGCGAAAGTCTCGTCGAGAGCAGCACAACTGGCAGAGTGAAGCTAACGAGACCGATCGTCTCGGGGCGGGAAAAAGAAGAGACACCGGCGGCAAAAAGAGGACGCCGGGGTGAGGAAATAAAACGATCGCGCGTTTGAGTTTGAAATCGCGTCTGCCGTTAATGTTCCTCCGACTGTTTCCCCTTTTCACTGTCTTTTCCTGCTCTTCGCGCGGACCAACATCTATTTCCTTTCGTTGCTTCTGTCGACAAAGCTCGAAACTTCGTTCACCGACCGTCTTTTGGAACAATTCGCCATTTCCTGTCGGACAGATAGTCGAAGAGTCGAGTGGATAAATAAGACACGTTGCGCATTTTCACGAAAAACAAGTTGAGCTCGCAAATATATTATTGTTTTTCATCGTGCAGTATATCATTTTTGGAAATTGTTTACTAAAACTGACATAAAGAGAGGAATGAATAATTGAATGAATAATCGCGTAAAATTAGATCGTACTATTTTTTCAAAATCGATTCTAAAATATTGTACATATTTTTTTATCTACTTATATTGCTTTTGGCATATGGTATATGTATGTTTGCGTTTTTCATAACATCTCTATTACACATTAGATGATAATTTAGTACGAAAGGGCAATACATATGTAGCATTCGAGATAACGCGATATTTCGAAAGTAGGATATTTATCATACGTTACGTAACTCTTCTCTTATGTCACGAATTGTCATTTGTTTGATATTTACGATAACACGCAGGACTTTATATTCGATAAAGCATTTCCACGTTCGATTACGTTGAACGCGAGATACACGGATCTGGACCGAATCCACGTAGCTGAATAAATCATTGATACGCGATCGAACGCGCTCGCGGATGAGATACAAAATAACGCGAAGACTAAACACGAATTTATATACGGCGCCGTATATTTATTTAGGATGCGGAATTTATATTTCTTCCCGGACAGGCGGTAAAGCGAGATATATGAAGCCGTCCCTAAAAGCTGGCATGCCAGTTTACAGTCGCATAGCAGCGGCCAGCCGAAGGAGTACGTGCGTACGACGTGAGCAGGACGGACTTGTCCGGCAAATAGTTGGAAGCTCCCTTCGAGACCGTATATCATCCCGACGGGATTTATGCAACTGGCACGCACTGCACACACACACACACACACACACACACACGCGCACACACACATAAACGCGCACGCACATACGCACGTTTGTTCGTGTCGGCTTAACTCAAGGTGGCAACGCGTACGCTGTTGATGACGATGCCTCGGCGACGCGTTGCCAGCGTCGGGATGGTGCATCTCACCGAGTGCCACATTGTAACCAGCGATATAGGATTACCTCTACTCGATGTAGAACGTGAGACACGTAGAGAGACACGTCAACTTAAATTTAATCAATCAAATACACCGGCGTGTATGAATGCGTCTCGCGGAACAACATACATATATCGTCCGCGACGTATTATTCGCGAATCGTAGCGTCGCTACTCTATTCTTAGCTTTGGTATTTTCTCGCTTTGTTCGGTAATGAGGTCGGACCGATGGATCCTTGATTTCGATAAATCGGCAAATGTTCCATAAGCCTGTAAGCCTCCTGCGCATTTATAAGCCTGCGCGATGAACACGCCTCGCGAATGGCTGACTGACGTGAATCCGTAATTGCATTCCTCGTGACGCGCGAATACATTTT